TTGAGTTTTCTGAAGACAACCAAAAGATTCTTGACGGATACTTTTGTACAGGTACACATTAAATGGTCGATTAGTCTGTATTAATTACCGTAAGCATGAGCAAGTCGGGATTGGTTAAAAAATATCGTTCAGGATGCAATACGATTTTCTTTTGATATGTACAGTAATTGTACGTGTATAATTGACTCCCCAGGCAACAGCCAGTTCATGGGCAACCGTTACATCAAGGACGGCGATACAGCGGTTATGTTGCTGTTTGATAAGAACGGCTACATTGCGGGTATACAGGCTGGGGTGAGTATTATAACACGTTAAGACGAAAAAGGAATTATAAAAACGACTGACATTTCTGTACCTTTACCAGTAAGTGCCTCGTAGTGAAAATGAGTCCAGACATCTTATAGTAATCATCATTTTCCTGTATAACTGCGATTTTTTGTTTTTTCAGCTATATGTGGCTATCTTATTTTAATGTTGATAATGTTTAGCAATTGATAAATAATGTGAATAAATTAACTATTTCTCAAATGTATCCTTGGCAATTTTAGATTCCTAAGAACGCTGGCACCTTTCCATCAAGTATGAGTGCGGACGTCAGAAAATACTTCATTGAAGAGAGCGACAAATTCACCATCACTGCCTACTTTACCGACCCAGGTAGGACGCACAGATTCCATGTTTTTTTAAAGAACATCTTCTAGACTTAAGTTGTGACAAAACATGTGGGCCTATTTGGCGTGGTACATGTAGTAGGACAAGGATTGTAGCTGAGTTTTTTGTCTCTAGTTTGCACCTGACTTTGCTCGATAATGACACCTTTGATAAGAAGAGATACAATTTGGGGCCAGATTCCAGCAGACACCATCAATTAAATATGTGTGTTCGTGCACACACGAAAAAACGTGCACAAGAACACACACGGTACCCCTATATTAAGATGAGGAAACCTCTTCCATATACTTTTTAAATTGGTACAACAAAATCAATCCAAATCGGACATCAAGCCAACTGTAGCAGTCGATAAAGTCCAGGGCTGATCTGCCCTATCTGTCTTAGAGAGAGCCTTATCTATCTATAGCTGTGCGTATTTTATAATAACCAGGGTCAAGTCACGACGTTCTTCGCCGCACCCATCGGTCAAGCGACCTTGCGTATTCTGGCCAGCTGTCCAGTGACATGCAATTTTACTTCATGACTTACACAGCCTGCTGATTTTAGAGATACACCGTGACTAAGATTATTTTTCCGTATTCCAAACGGTAAAACTATGTGAAGCCGATTTATAGAAAGAGCAGCCTAATTATAGGCGCAAAATGCTCTGGAATCAGATGCATTCTGAGGCACTTCTGGTTTTCCAGTATACCTGATGTCCGCTTCACCGAATGCATTTATCCAACTCCCAGACAAACGAAATTCGTTAACAACTTTCGCTGCTATAAGCCCTCAATCTAGCTTTTGAGTTACGTGTTTTTTTCACAACTTTTGCATGTGAAAAGCATGTAATTTTTAAGTCACATAACCTATATTATCATTATTATCTCTCCCCTGGCTGGATCTCCCTAGATTGGTATACAGCTAGTCTTTCAATTAAGAATAAGCCTTTCTATGACTGTCTACTACTTGAGAGTGTTTTCATGGCTTTTTTATGGGTTTCAGCCACCATCTGTAGCGCCGGACGCACTGCTGACCAGTACTCTGCTGACGGCACCGGTACTGCCCTCTATATTCAGAAAGGCACCAATCCTGCCACTGATTCCATCGCCATGCCAATGTCCCAGGATGACGTCAAGAACACAATGTGGACAGAGGGGCATTGCTTCTACGGCATGGGTGAGGAAGGCGAATCTTAGTTTTAGATTTTTTATTGAAGTTTTAGGAGGCAATTTAGAGGCGATTTCTATGTAAGAAAACAAAATAGTGTCAGGGTCTTATATCTCCTAGATGTCTACCCCTAAGTGAACGTGTACAATGACAAGTTGACTCGATTGCACAGATTTGTCCTTCAGTTTTACTGTTTGAAGTTAGTTTGAAATTAGTCCCTCATTTTTCACAGAAAAAAATTCGATCCTGAAGAATATTTTTGATAATTTTTAAGTATTAAAGCGGTTTGTTAAACAAATGTAACCCCGTTCCAGGCAAGCACTATTGGTACAATGTCCGTAAAGACATGTCCTGCAACGAGTTTGTCCCAGTATTCCTCTTGTACAATGGAGGTAGATTGAACGCGTTCGGCTGGGCGTTCATTGGAGACTTTAAGTCACCCAGATACGAACATCCTGGACAGTCCAGCTTTAAGGTGAGCGGTGCTTTGATATGGTTCATTATTCGTGATTTTTATTTTGTTAAAATTTGATAATATTGGGGCCGGAAAGCAGTTTCTGGAACAATACCAGTTGTATTCTGGTTCTTTATGCAGTCGATTTCAATATTTCTTTTCCACATATCTATATTTGTTTATTTTTCATAAAGTGGTGCTGGTCCTATAAAACCCGTGATTTATACGTGTATGTAAAATCAACAACGCAAAGCTTACTACATAAAGGATGCAGAATAATTCATTTTCCCATTTGAAAATAAGTGGATATAATTTAAAGTCAGTAAAGTGTTATGCATTGACAACTGAATAAAAATTAACTTCTAGCCTACAGAATATTCACACAGTGCCCGTTATTGATTTATGTGGTATCTTTTTTTCCAGTGGTTTTTGGATCCCGTCCCGACATGTGTCACCAGCGTGGGTACATTGTCCACCATGCACATCTACATGTACAGCACGGCCAGAGTCAACACGTGCTAGGCAGCCGTCATAAGTACCCCAGTTATGCAATGGGGCACCGAAATTAATGCGCACATTATTATTTATTTATTTATTTATTTATTTTTTGGGTTTCGTGATTCTTGGTATGAAGTTACAAATAGCTGAAGTGAAAAATAAAAAATAGAATCTGTACTTTTAATTTTGATGTTATATATATGAACATGTAGATAATATTCTGATACGTGACAATAAACCAGAAATTAACTAATCAGTATTGACAGCTAAGATCACGATAAAGACACGTGATGGTAATCACTAGATCAAGGGCTTTAAATGGATGCTTACGGTACAGATACTCACAGTGTGTATAGAATAGTGTCTCCTTGAACTTAGTATCCCACCTGGATTCTATTATCCTGAGTTTTATTGATATTAAGGACTGCTGCAATTGTTTTTTTGTTATCGAGTGTCAAATGTCATTCAAGATAAAACTTCAAGTTCTGCACCAAAAACACTTCACGTTTGAAGCAGGCGATTAATTGGTAACGGAGTTGATCTTTGTAATATTATTATCATTGTGTGTTATCGCAATTTATTTGTCGAATATATAATATGGCCCGTGAAATTTTTAACGTTTTTTAAAATCTCCTCCTTAAATACCCACAATTCAAACAAGGTACAGTTTTTATACATGTCTTACAAATAATTCAAATTCTTTAGGGAATATGTACACGCAAATTCTATAGATAAGATCACTTGGGGGCAGTACTTTGATAATAATGCTGCAAAGAAGAAAAGTGTCGACGTTGTAATACAAACACAAAGGAAAAGAAAATTATATAATTCCGTCCTACAGGCACATGAATATCTTTTAATGGTAATATGCTACTTGCGCACTGGAACATGTTATTGTTTGTCATCTTCGTCTGAAAAGTAGATATATTTCTCGAAAATGCGTCTTTATTTTAACTGTAATCGTTGAAAAAATTCAGGGTAGCTTCGGTCGTGTTATTGCTTGCCAAATCTAGGGCTCGAACAGAAATGGTGGTTCTGCTGAAATTTATCAGTACTTCTACCTGTCGTTTTGTACCCCCTTTCTGGATAGGCATCCGGACTTCAAGGTCAGCAATTTTCCACGTTTTCTCTTCATTTGTAAACTTAACGTCTTTCTTTTCACTTGCGTAAACTGGTAAAGTCATACTGTTTTGACGGGATCTGACGGCGTGGAACCGGAGTTTTCTAACCTCTCCTTCTTTCACCGATTCATCTTTCTTGATTATAGTTTTGAATACTCGAGCGCATTTTTCAACTCCACCTTCGTAGACTTCTTTAAGTTCAATCGGGTGTGAGTTTTTATCAAATGGTTCGACGCATTCGATGCCATACGTATAGCCAGCCACGCGCTGTTTGAATATGGCGGGGTTTTGTCCATACACTACCGCCCCCTTTACAACACACAAACCGCCATCATTGCCTGGTGTTATGACCTTCAAACGACCTTTGAACCTTTCCGTAATTGCTTCCTGCAGTAAAGGACAGTCTGAAAATCCGCCAACAAGAACAAGGAAAGATATATTGTTTTCATTTGTTGTTATGAACTCCCACAAGTGATCGGAAATTGCTTTAATTGTACGCTCGAAAAGTCCTCGCATGACGTCACTAGAAATGCGAATTTTATCGATGCTCCACGTTAAAGCTCCTTTTGGTTCGTACATGCTACATGATTCGGCAAGTGACATCTGGTGAGAGCTAGCATAGGAGAGAAAACCTGCAGGAAACACTAGACGAGTTGGAACTTGCTTGACTGGCGATAGAGTTCGTTTCTTGATTTCAAATTCTCTGATGATGCGATGCCAATGATCTGGGTGCAAGGCGCGGAAGCCATCTGAAAATTAGAAATTGACCTCGTAGTCTACAAAGGTATTTTGGCCAAATCTCCGCATTTTATCTAGAAATTATATTGATAATATGAAAAAGTGTAGAAATTCATGAAAAGTCATAAAAACCCCTGCTTTAAAATCTTGCAAATACATACATGTATACATGTACATGTGCATGGTATGGTTGGTGGAATATTTTGAATACCTTTGTTTAATGGTAAATTACCACAACGATAACTAAGTGAAATTAAACACATTTTAAACTGGTTTGATTTGTTACAGAAATGACATTAGCATGCATAATACAAATACCCATTTTTTCTTTTCCGAATACCGAATCTAGAAGTTTTTCAAACTCCACATTCACGGCGTCTCCTCCCCACGGTCCCCCTGTGGGCCTGCTCAGAATTTTAGGTTTTAAGGTAGTTCGGTCAATCTGTTGGACTGTGATGTCCGCTGTCCCGCCTGGAAACGCGAGTTATGATATTATCCTGTTTGATCCCAAAATATATTGATTAAATACTGTGAGGCTTACGTCAGACTGTACTCTAATCGGCCTTTTTAATGTGAAACTGAAATAGGTCTTCTTGACTTGTTTTTCTGTTTATTTTGACCTTGCTTCATTACGTGACTTAAGTCGTCAATAAATTAAGAAGCCAAAGAGGTATGTTATTCCTGAAGAATTATATGCAAATACTTTACCCCCCAGATCGGCGACTATAAATGTAACTCCGGGTTTGTTGATGTCAAGCGACACGGTGCCAGCAGGATTTCTCTGCGGCGTCTGTTTGCACTGTTTCAGATAATACAGAGACGCCGCTTCTGGCTCGTATGCGATTAACTGCTGTTCTCGCGGAATACCTGCCTAGAGAGAGGGTAAATTTTTTAAACTTCTTTAAGACTAATGGAGTACCCGAATTGCATGAGAGAATATGTGTCACCGCAAAATAATCTGAGGAATTGTAATGTAACTTTTTCTACTCTGTATATGTGACACGTTTTTTTTTATCCAAAATTTTTAATAAATATACTAGTGGACTATTAAGGTCAAATGATTTTACTAAAGGCCTTGTTGGGGAGCCTACCTTTATTGCAGATAACCGCATAAACTCCTTTGCTTGATCTGACCAGACAGAGGGCACTGTGATCACCCATAATACCTCTGTAGCCAAGACGGACTGTTTTTGCGACTCGAGCAAGTGCTCTTTAAGCAACCTAATTGCATGGGAAAAGACTACTTGAGCAGGGAGAGATGTTCCGTTATCGGCCTGAAGCATTGTTGTTCTGGGATTTATCTCCTGAAACATACGGTTCTCAAATAAATTTATATGTATCTCAATGCATGCACGATTGCCTTGAATAAAAATTAATTTCAAAGTAAATGTACATATACATGTATAGGAGAGTTCGAAGCAATGGAATATTGACAGACGATAAAGTATACTATAGCCATTTTTAAATAAAATTCAAATCTTTTGTAGAGTACGATGGCATCTTTTTGGTAAAAAAAAGCATGTTTTACCAATTCTGCATTCAGCTTCATTTTGAACCGTTCAAACAGGCACCACTCTGAAACCTCCTCTGGCTCTAATTCTTCAAGAAACTTCTGCTGCGCTTCGAATCCAAAATATGCCTTTTAAACATAAAAAAGTTTCGATATCTGTTAGTAGATTTCGTATAAAATGATAAAAAAATCAGCATGACAATTTTCGTGTGTAAGTCACACTGCAGAGTAAAATTACTGACAATTGTCTGGAAAATTGGTATTTCCCTTTGCCTCACATTACATCGGGTATACTGTAGATTTTAAAAATAATTGTTACATTAATCCGCAAATATCTATCTTCAATTCAATAAACATACTATTTAAAACAGCTAAAATTTATCTTCATCCAAAGTAAAGGATTAATAAAAAAAGGGCATCAGCTGACCTCAGATTGATCCGGGCTGATTAACACCGTAGTTGGCGTCCGGTAGAGCTGTTGACCAACACTTGCTCCCCAGTTGGCGTTAATATAGATGTCGCTTTCATTGGAGGTAAAAGAGTAAGCATAGCCGCTAAATGTGGTTCCAAAGTCAATAGCCGCTACCATACAGAAAGGGTTTTCCGGCGTTTCAGCTTTAGGTCCAGCCTCTTCTTTAAACGATTGTGTCCTTTCATTGTCTACTATAATGTACAAACATATGATAATAAAAAAAATACAATAACAAAAACGAAAATAGATGAATTGATAAATAAATAAACGAAAAGATTAAAAAAGAGAAACAGTTTACTTGTCTTTTCTTTTTTTTAGTTTATTATTTTTAGGTCACTGCTCCTCTTTCTACTTGTCTGTGCTGCCAAAACATGGAAAAAAAAGGTGCACAGTAAGCCAACTGATTACATTTTGTGTTAGTTGCCAGCAGCGTTTTAAAATTATTGTGTAGCAGCAGGCCCGTAGCCAGGGGGGTTCGGGGGGTTCGAAAGAAACCCCCCCCCTTTTTTTGCTGGAAAAAGGTCCACTCTGGGTAAAATTTGATCTAGGTACATGGGGATTATATGGTAAAAGGTCCACTTTTTCAGAAAAAGAACCCCCCCCTTTGAAATTGCCTGAGCAGTATCTTCCATTTTCTTCCCACACCCCTAGATATTGCCGTTAACAAAGAGGGCCGGATATCTGATAATGCAGGACAAAGTTTGAAATTATACAGATTATACAGTTGGGGTTCAATTTAATGAGATAGGGGAAAAAGACAAACAGAACATACAAATAATAATAATAATAATAAAACATTAATAAAAAATAGAAGAGAAAAAAAGAAAGAAAAGAAACACCTACCCCAAGATCTGTACACGCTGGACAGGAACAATCCTGACATATCCATCATTTTGAAGTATACGTAAGACTTCTTGCGCTAATCTACACCAATAAAAAAATCATGCCTAACTAACCATGTAGCTCCCATAAAAGAGATATTCTAGACAATAATAAATACAAGTCATTGCTTCTATTAACTCTGTCCTAGCTGAACCCTTACTGTGTTGTAAATATGGATGAAGGCATTGGTCACAAGTCAACGTGTAGAAGACCCCGTTCACACAAGCACAAAAAAAAAAAAAAAAAAAAAACAGTGACGTAATCATTTACATAATTTGTCAGTAGCTTACCAAACAGACGCCTACCCCAGAAAAACCATTTTCTCATATGAAGGCGTGTTGCTGAGCTGCAGATCGGCTGAACCTCCTTATTGCGGATTTTTGCTGGTGTCAAATTTTCGTTTTGATGTCATCTTCGTTAATTTGTTTAAATATTCACATCGGTTTCTTGTCTTATCTTGCCTAATTGAGTGTCTTGCGCAACGACAGGCAGATTTATTTTGAATACAATTTAGCTGTTTATTTGTCAGGGATTCGTGACCCAGATGGAGTGAGTTATCTGATCTATGTTATCAATGCGATATGGCCGGAGTATAGGGTCGTCGTGATAAAGTTCAAGTATCAGTGCGTGTGACAAAGCACAAAGAGCACTGACTTCAAACTCTACCTGAATTTAATATGTCATAAAGCAGGATCCAAGGTGAGTAATCGGGATCATTTTTTAAGTCAAACACCCTCTAAGTAGTGCCTAAAGAAACAGATTAAGTAAAAAACTTGGTTTCGACAACGTAGGAATCGATGTTACATGTACCTTAATCATCGTTCATTAATATGCCTATGTTTTCTATTTGGGGAAAATCGACTACTGACAACAAAGCGGCTATTAACAAAAGGACATAGGGCCTACTTCAATTACAGTGACCAAGCGGACACAGATCGTGTGTTAAATTAGAGACATCTTTATTTAATACTCAGATTATAGATCCGTACTTTCGCTTGTCATACAAGTAACATTAACGCTTGTTGATGTCATGTTGCGTGATTCAGTCTCGTGATCCCTACTACATGTATGTGTACACTCTCTTAAACATTATCTTTTCTTACGTAAGAATCTATGTTAGGATCGGTAATAATTTTATTAGGGTCTTGGTTGAAAGTCCCAATAGCAAAAGTATAGACAGACCTCTGGATTAAACAGTATGACTCATGTTTGTTTTTCAATTGATAAACATTCAATCAGTGCAGAAGTGATATTAAACGTCAACTGAACGATTATAGGATCCCATATCTGTAAATAACCAATAACAAACTCTCGTTAATTTTTCACATTAATCAAATTTCTATCTCAGCACGCCAACCGTTTCGTTTGTTACTCATAACTCTGTCGTGTCTTGTGTTTTTAATGTTTGACATAGACCTATTAAATCTACCTCTATGTGCGCAGTTAATTATTATTTAATGATACCTCTATGTGCATTTAGTTATATCTCCCTGATACAGTTCCAAACACTAAACGTTTTCGGATTGGTTTGGGACTCTCACCTCAGTCAACATTTTTTGCCACCGTGCCTACATCATTCTTTTCGAGTTATATACCCCGCTCAACGTGTTCTCCTGTATCCTAGTGCATAAGCTCGGCCTCAACATCTCTGACTTTTTAATTTCAATTATTTGCAGATGGACTTGGGACTCCTTCGGCAGGTTTCCGTGGCTCACAGGCAAGGACAAGACAGCCACCATTTCTCGCATCTGCGGCTCGGACTTATCGGAAAAACTGTGGAATGCCTAGAAGATACCTCAAATCGGTATCTCCTGTCCGCCATTTTTGATTTCAAGTTAGATGCTGAACATTCTGGTTTATCCTACGCCCCTTCATGTCAGAAACACAAGAAAGTTTTGGGTGAGATTATCAAGACTGCAAACAAACAGTTGAAAGAGGCGTGCAAGGGTTGTTCGAATTGCGTGGAACATATAAAATACGTCGATCACTTCTTCAAGAAAGGGGGACTTTCTTCTCTTGTCAGTGATACCCAAAGAGAACTACACAAACAGAATTACAGAGTTCGAGAGTTACAGACAGAACTTCGCGAAATACAAAGACAATTGAGTGAGAAGATATCTGAGAACAGTACTCTTAAGGACGTGAACAACATTTATCTTTCACAACTGGAGGGAAAAAGCACAGAAGAGCAAACGTTGCGATCGACGACGGGCGATTTGTCGACCAGAAATCAAAGCATGACGTCAAAGATGGCACAGCAAAATAAGAGGTAACGTCATAGGGGACGGTCACCAAATTTCAATCCCAATATTCTTGATTCTTGTTATTGCCCCCCTAGACTGCAAGTCTTTGTTGAGGTGCAGTCATAAAAAAATAACAGGAACTGAACAAATTATTGATTGTTTTTTAAAACTTTGTTCTACCGAGTATACATGCATTTTTATACACGGCTATTCAAAAAGTTAATGTCTGTAGGTCAGAAACAGTTGACGGGAGTCACAGAGTATTTTGCCTTGAAGACATGCTAGATGTCTCTACGACACTTTTTTGATACAAAGAAAAAAACTGCGTTAGTCTAGTTTACTAACATTATCACTACGTTTATCTAAATGATTTTAGGCTGGCCGAATTGCAGCACAGGATAAACAGGGAATTAAACCCGCACGCCGTTAATGTTGCCAGACCGGCTGCGGCCACGACCCCTGACCAGTTGGTGGACATGTACACGATGGACCTGTACGAGGAAGAGCACGACAGAGCTCTGGACCAACTGCAAGACGACTTTGAATTCACGGAAGAAGAAGGGATCGGTATTTTGTTCACAGCAGTGACGGTGAGTAAATGCATTTTGTGATATCTACATGTATATTATCTATATTTTGTCAGGCTGCGTGCCAAATTTTATCAATGCAAATCACATTAATATAGCACATTTTAACTGTTCCAAATGTAGTTGTCATAGGAGTTAAATCTCGACTTATATTAACCCAAAATCAATGTTATCAAATTAACCGTGTTTTTATACATACAAGCAATGTATGATTTAATATTGCAATAGGCAATTTTAAAATGGGGAGTACATATACATGTATATCCCGGTATCATGGTTACGTTACAACATGATTCTGCAAAGTTTTTAACGTGTTGACAAACATGACTATTGACAGAAACCAATGGCAAAAAAATCCAGTAGCAAGTATATCAGTTTTTAGGACTATTTGTGTGTTCATAAGTTAGTATAAATTCAATTTACCAACATAATTGTGTGATAAATTTTCATCCTTTTTATGTGTCAGTGAATATTTTGTGCAGGTGTCATATGAATGCACAGAAAAGGCGCTTCAGAACTATACGCAGGGGTGGAAGGCCTCGCTGAGGGTACCGACGATAGACGTCAATTTCAACCAAACCTTTCACGGTCATGGGAGTTTTCGCACGTCTTCAGAGGGCAAACACAGCCATTCTTCCGACAGTCGGCATAGTTCATTAGATGCCAATCTTCCCAGGCACGTGGAAGACGCATGCGCAGACAGCGAAGAAGAGGTGAGCTGTACCCCGTTTTTATGCTCTTGTGCTCTGTTAATTTGATTAATTTCACTAGAACTCTTAACAAAAATATATATATTTACGAAAAAAATACCTGCACTTAAAATTAGAACGCGCTTCGTAATTTTTTCAGTGAACGCTTATGATAATGTTCATTTTATATTATAGAAGGAACTTTTCGATCGGATATCGCACACGATTCGGCAGTTCCTGGTCAACAACACAGAGCGGCATGACTTAAAGGAAATAAATCAGGTACATCGATTCAAAATGATACATATGATATGTAATCAACCACTTCAAAATCGACTTCGAGTATGGGCTCATATGGAAGAGATAAAGGCGACATTTTATTATTATCCTTTGAACACTGCTCAATTTAATATCCATAGGATATTCACTACATTTATATATTAGCGCTCATGAACTAGTACAACATGTTTGATTACGCTTTTAAAAGATGTCACTGATAGTAGTCACTACATGTTAACAGCGTAACATGCATACCATTTTCAGGATGTGTTAGAGCAATTACGGACCAGCCTCCAGTGCAATGAAGACGTAATCAAGTCATCCTGTTTGAAGAGATTTGTCCGTCACTGTGTCCGTGTGTTTTGGAAAATGGTGGTCCTGGACCCGCCGATGAAACTAGACTGGAGTGGCGCGAAGATGGACAAAGAGGTGCATGAGGTAAAGAAAATCGGTGGTTCCATGGCTTTTCTGGCATCAGTGCATGTTTGTTTGACCTTTTTTTCTAATCTCCTTACAGTCACCTAAGCTGCAGAAGTGTAATTTACAACGTGGGCAATAAGACAGGGGCTGCAAACCACATAGATTTACATTCTCCGTTTTGCATGGGTAATTTTAGTTCCTTAGATATAGATACCTGAAAGTTCTAGGTTCAAGCCTTTTGACGGGCATGGCTATAGTTATCTAAGGCGTCACTTTACATAACTTTACTTTGGAGAAGCATCTAGTGTCTCAGATACGCCATTGCGGTAAAATCAAACGAGACACATATTATCTTAATGTCGTCTTCCGAACCAATCTCAATTTGTTTCCCCCGTTTAGATTTGATTACAATCTCTTACAGGATCGGTGGGGTTGCACCTCAGGAGAAATAAACTATTTCATCTGGCCCGCTCTCTATAATGGGCGAGGGAAACTTGTGTGCAAGGCAAAAATTGCTACCAAACGACAGGGGACCGCCATACAGGCTGATGACGTCATCGCTCAGGCCATCGCTTCCGATTCTGGTAGTGACGTCACAAGTGTGGCTTCTACGCCTGTATTTGGTCTGTCAACGGATGAGGGTGCCAGCTTAACCGGCTGTTCGCCAAGGACTGCGGACGAACGCGCATGCATTCCAGGGGCACCGAAGAGTTTAAATCCGGGAGGTACCAGTCGTTTTAACGAACTTGGTCGCGTGGCGGCGTCGCCGAGGCCAGACACCTCTGGTAATGACGAAAGTTACCGACACGAAGGAACGTCTTTTCTGGGATATGCCTCAAAGTACTTGCTTAAATAAGGCTTATGTTTGAGAGCGTGTTGGGATTGATTGCCGTAGGTCGAAGACCACCTTTTAAAATGTTTTTTTCTTTCTATACCCTGATGAAAATAACTTTTGCCAATAGTATTTCCAGTATTGGAAAACATCCCATCAAAACAGTTACCGGTATATCTATGTGAACATGTACTGTATAAATGAACTTTTTTAATAAATGACTGTCATGACAATAAAGAAGAAAATACAATGTTGCCACACGATATACATGTATGCACCTCAACGACGTATTACTAGAAAGTATGTTCTTGGATAGTATTAATCATTCCTATATGCCGTATAAAAACTCCTGAAACCTGCAACTGTAAAGACAAGACTTGAACTCGAAAACGTGTTTAAAGACCATAACTTTTCTTCATAGTTTTTTAATAGCACGTACATCCGTTGTTGTGTAAAACTGAAATTTGGAAGACAATTGATTTTTCACTATTTAAAGGTCTGACGCATATTGGTTAGATGAAACCAATCGTTTAATTCATTATTGCTTGTCTAAAGCATAGACCCATTACTGCACCGTATTTTTGCCTGTCATGAGAAACATCAATATCAGGGAGGTGGTATAGTAATTAAAGCGACATGCATATTTCATACATATGTCAGCATTCTCCTCCAATGGATACATCTTGTTTGTCAAGCAAATAAAATACATATTGGACTAAAGCATTTTTGCTGTTTTGTCATGGTTACCGGCAACACAAAAATTCACAACATTATCAATATTCGATTGACACTCGGGTAATCTCGAAAATAGACTTAAAGCAGTCGTTTTATTCTTAATCATGAAAATCTTACAGATATTCAGATATGTCGGGAAGACGTATATCGGTACTATGCTCTGCTCTGTGCAGTGCAGTTTGCATTCTGAATTACATTATGGCTGACAGTTCGAATTCAAGTATAAATTATTTCCTTTTCAAACGGGGGAAATATTTGCCAAAGTTCGTTTTGGAACGAACGACAAAGAACAGTAGTGTAGAATGCGCCAATCTCTGTGAGAAAAACACTCAATGCAAGTCTTTTAACCTGAGATTGGACGCTATGGCATGTGAACTGAATACAGGTACAGAGTTCGACACTAGCTCTACATCTCTTGTTGATGATATGGAAAGCACCTACTACATGAAGGTAAGCAATAAACATATTTTATAATGAGGTTATAAAAAAACACGAGGACCCTAGAAAAGGGAAGGGAGGGGGCAGTTGGATTGGTTAAGTTCCGTATAAAAATTAGCCGCGATAAGAATAAAAAAGTCATCATACTACTGCTATTTTCGTTAGAATGCAGACCTGTAGCCAGGAGGGTTCGGGGGTGGTGGCGGGGGAGGGGGGGTGGAGGGGGTTCGAAAGTACCCCCTTTTTGCTGGAAAATGTCCTTTCTTTGTTAATTTGATTAAGGTAAACTAAGGTTTCGTGACAAAAGGTCCACATTTTCAGAAAAAGAACCCCCCTTTTGCAACTGTGCACCTTTCTAATGTGTTATATTCGTTAGTGAGTGTTTTATTAAATATTTTCAAACGTGAGCTGAGGGAACACAAGCTTTGTTCTTTTGGAAACGGCATGTTTTTACTGTCTATTTTTATTCATAGGATCAGACGTGCGAGTAAATCCTTGCTATTTCTATTTCACATTTATTGTTTTAGATTCCAAATGACTGTGCTGATTACAGTAAGTAATACAATTCCCTTCAAACTTGTACAGTATGGTCGAAATAGGTTTTTTATTTGTAATCAAGCTGTCTCATATCTTTATTATAAATCGCTATATACATTTTAAACATCTATGGTTTCAAATAGGGCAAAATGAGTTACACTGCGTACTCTCTTACAACAAGGAACGTTAGAAGTCTGTTACAAAATCATTGTGTCGCCCATACTTCAATTTTGTATACTATTTCTCAACTACATCAGAAACCTGGGATATCAGGGTGGAGACGGATAAGTAAATGCAGATAACAAAAGAAAAAAAAGGGAAAAAATTATGGAAGTACTATGTAGTAAGTAATGAGTAATGAGTAACGAGTTGATACATGTAGAAGGGGGAAAAAGATCACCATGGTGATGTGCGCTATCAATGGTTAGATTTTTAAAAAGTGTTAACCGCGGAACTGAAATAACGTTACATTTTAGACTTGGATGGTGGTGTGTTTTGGATTCAAGTTCATTCCATGAGAAAGGCAATCCAAGTTTATTGTGAACGGGGATGGACGGTTCTTATGCGAAGGACTGGGCCGGAATTAAATTTCAACAGGTAAACGGAAAATACCACGCTCTAGTGTGGTTTTTTTTTGAAAATTAAGTAATAATAGTCTAATGATATTTTGCTTGGGGAGATTGATAAGCAAAGGCAATTTAACTTTAGCCACCCACCATACAACAAGCTTTGTGTCCGTTCAAGAAACGACATAGGAAAACTTGTAATATATATAGGCCGAAGCTGTTGAACCCTATGAAGTTAAGGACACTATATGTAGTTGTTTTCATAGCACTCGGTTAATTGATATTCGTGTTTTTCGGCCGATACGTAGAGTCGAAGACATGACGTCCGTACATGTAGCATTACAACTTGTGTCAATTAATTGTTGTACTCTGTCTATACTTGTGACAACCGGCGCACACCTCACGAGTGAGAGCCGGTTGACAGGTGTGTGTTGGTTGACACAGGTACAGATGTTTTAAAAGAAAAAAATGTTCTTTTGGTGTTGCCATTCGTACGTGCCTTTCAGGTCGTGGGAAGCTTATAAAAACGGGTTTGGTGACATTGCCAGCGACCACTGGCTGGGATTGGAAGCGTTTCATCATCTTACCAATCAGGGAAACTACTCCTCAATGATCGAAGTGAGAGACTTGCTGACCGACTCTTACTTTTGGAACATCCGTGAACGTTTCCGTATTGGTCCGGAAACCGATCAATATGTTTTAAACGTGTCACTTTCTTCTGAGGGCAACCTGACGGATAAGTTATGGTATAATAACCTCCAGAGATTTCATACCTATGACATTGACAATAATAAGAGCTGTGGCCTAAAGTACGGGGCAGGGTGGTGGTACGACACCTGCACCCGTGTCTCGCTTACAGCTAAAATGGCGATGCCGGGGGACTGTTTGTCGAAATGCTTAAGGTGGTTCAAACACACCGGTGTTTCCAGTAGCAGTAGCGGTGAGAGCACTTTGTTACGCTGGGCTGCTTTGAAGATTAAAAGGGCTAAGGACGAACTATTGCAGAATGATATGTAGAATGAATGCCAGTCGCACTTAAGATGTTTGTCTTCTCCTTAACCAAAGTCAACTTCGTCTAGATCGAAATTCTCGAAATTGCAACACTATCTTTTATACCAGGCCTGCTGCAAATTTGCTGATAATTTGCAGCAAATTTGCTGCAATATTTGTTCAAACTGCAATTCCTTCTTGCATATTAGCGGCAGGTTTGCTGCAATATGGCTGCAAATTAGCTTTTAGTTTGCAGCAATACCGCTGCAATATTGTTGCAATATTGCTGCAAACTTTTCATTTTGCTAAGGGTAATTATGATAAACAAAACACCGGAAAAGATTTTGTTGTTGTAAAGGATAGCGCACATTTTATTTGTTAGTCTAATCTTAGCGGTATGTATTGATTTATGTGAAATATACTTCTTATATATTACCTGTGCACTACATGTACCATAGCTCATGGTGCTGTACAGGTGGTATTATGTGTTCACTGGCTAGCAGAAGAGAGATTTTACTGGATGGGCACGAGGTAATAAATTTTTAGCTTTGCTTCACTGGATAAGTTCAGACAATTGACGGAAAGTGTTTATTGTTCCGTGTAGGACACAGAGAGGAAAATCTGCTTGGTGGTGATCTGGATCAATAATCAATCAACTAAGTTATGTACCGATTTTGATGAAATTTTCAGGAAATGTCAGAAGTGGGCCAATGAACAGATGCTTAAGTTTTGGTGGTGATCTGGATCAATCATCAATAAATAATCAATAATCAGAAATCAAAAAAACTTAATCATAATAGAATGAAAATTTAGGGGTGAAACGGCATTGGGTGGAGACTTTGCTGCCTTGGCTGAGGTCTGCGCTCTAGTTACTCA